TCTTGTTTTAAGTAAATCAATTAAATAAAATTCAAACAAGATGTGTTTGTGAAACACTTACGCCCTGTATGCAACATAGCAAAGGTTAAACTTTTCTTATATGCAAATTTAAATTATTGGGATTTCTTGATATCTCCAAGGTCAAAAGGTCAAGGTAATTGGTATCTAATGAAAGGTCTTGCCACAAAAAATACATATGTGAAATATGGAAACACTTGCCTCAACCCTTCAGAAGTTATGGTCAAGGTTACCAATTTTGAAATGTAAGTCAAACTCCAAGGTCAAGGACAAAGTGGCAGATTTGGTGATACTCAAAGAAAGGTCTTGTCACAAGGAATACATGTGTGAAATATGAAAGTCATAGCTCCGCTAGGTTAAAGTTTCTGCGGATAAACAGACAAACAGAAAGACAGCTAGACAGACAGACGGACACGACAAAAACTATATACCCACGAAACTTCGGTTGCAGGGGCATTAAAATAATAATTATAAAGTAAATAGTGGTAAAATGTAAATAAAGACCAAGTAATGTTATTACATATATACACAAATTTAAGTAAATATAAATTACTAAGTAAAACGTTTAAGTATGTAAGTAAAACAATTCTTTAAAATACAAAAATCAAGTAAAACATTTGAATCTAGTAATTGACATATATTTCAGTATTTGATTTTAAATTTTAAGTAAATGCTTAGTAATTATCTATTACTTATCTTTGTTATTTCAAGTAAAAAATGACTACTAAGTAAAACTTTTTTAAGAGTGCTTGAGCAATATGTCAAGCAGAACATTTTTTTTAATTTCGAACCTTTTAAGAAAATTGTAGTAATTCATATTTTGTGTTCGAGAGTCATGGGCGTCAGGAAAAAAAAATTGAAAGGCGGGATTAAACCAACAGAACAGAAAAAGGAAAACCCCAGTTGCGTATATCGGTATAATCTATGCAAGCCCCCCCCCCCCCACCTAATTACAATCACTGACTAGGGGAATACAGATTTGCTGTTTCTCATTAAAAATAGTGTATTTCATACACCTGTGTCAGGGGTTCCATTTTGGGGTGGGGTGGTGGTGGAGGTGAAGGATTTACATGTATTATATGTACTGAAAGTAATTAAAATCTTTCTCTGTCCCTTGTTATTATTTAAACAAACTAAATACATAGTTATGATGAGAAAGTATGCCTCTTCCAAAATCATGAATTTCATGGCAAATGGGTCAGGGTTGGACTCGGATGGGGCGCTACTGGTTAAGTAGTAAAATTGCATCAATGCTTTGAAAATCTTCTCCTCTGCCCCCGATTACTAAGCAAACCAAATACAATAATATCAATGTAAATGTATTAGACATAATTATTGTGCCTTCTTTGTTTTGCGTATCTCAGAGGTAAACAAAGAACACAATTGTTGCTACCCTTTGCTAAATGTTGTTAATCAAGAAATCATTGTATATACTTTAATTAACAAGTTATTTGATTGAATGGGAACACAAGAAAAATATTATATACATATATGCACAAATAAGATAAAAATGAATGTTTGTTTAAATGAGCAATCCATGTTTAATGTCAAAATTCTTGCCTGAGAAGCAGTATTTATCTCAGATAAGTGCATATAAAAACATCAAGTATGAATTTAATAAATTTTATTGTGACGATCATTGGGCACGGCTGTTTATCCAGAGACACAAATTATGAAAAGCTATTGGTGTCTCTGGCAACACAGCAAAGCAAATATTACATAATTATTAAATATTCAAACTCAGGTTCAAAGGTCAAAGTTCACAAACACCATATGAGAAAGTGGTAAAAGCCTTGACCCTGGGAGGTGCAGAGGTCAAGCACTTATTTATGTATATCTAAATCCAAAGTTTACTTTTCAACTTTCATGAGTTACATGACTGCATATAAGGATAGTTACTTAGTGCCGCTCGTTTACGCCACACCTTCCCGACCACAAGTTCTTTGTGGTAGGGAACTCCGCCACCATATGGGTGGGGGTAGAGCGGCAGAACCAAATACCCATCATGATTGATGTAAATGATTCCCTGTAAATTTAAACCTAACCCCCAATTACACATGGAGTCGATGTGATGACCCTAATAAAATAGTATCCAAGATTTTGGTGATGAGTAGATCAAAGAAACGTGTACACATGTATATCACTACACATGTAGAAACCAGGAATATATAAGCAAAATACATAAACGAGAAACAGATTAAATATTTAAAATCTATTTTATATCTGAATTAAAAGGAAACTGTACTACCCTTATTACTGGAAATATTATTCCCTATTTATTGGAATACAGCTGTACATGTATATCATATCAAACTAACCTTACGAGAAAACTGGAGAAACGAACGTTGATCTAACTTGGATAAGTGTACAAGTATTATCATACAAAGGTGTAACATTTTATTGAACAAGTACCCCTTGAATTTCTTTGGGTAGGATCATGTGCTTAAGAAAAAGCGTTCCCTACTGACTGTTAAAATTTGCCTCAAGCCCTATATATATTGATTGGTGCAGTGGGACATTGTGTTGAAATTCAGAATAAAAACAAGGGCCTATCGATTGGTATGAAACATTAAAATGTGACCTACTTATGGGTTAAATTTACTAACACGGTCAGTATAACAGCAATAATAGAATTTACAAGATCTAAACTTTAAAGAAGGTTTATCTATGTTTAACGAAGTTACAACTCTGGTTAAAGCTATCACTGATTAGCAAACATGGCACAGTACGATTGATTTAGAAATAATGTTTAATATACCATATAATGCTAGCTAGCTTAGGACACCCCACCACTAATATTCAGAGTTGGGAAATATGCCACACTTCCAGCAAGAAAGTAAATGATGCTAAAATTAGAATTTGTACGAGAAGTATGTCCAATCAGTGATCAGTTGGAGCCATAAAAATTAATACTCAAGAAGTGTTGTGATTTCAAGGTTTTGCCAAAAATTAATTCCAATAAACAATTGCAGACTTAGTGAACACTGTAGTATATGAAATAAAAGTTGTAAATATTTGTACAAAGCATAATAAATTGTTAAATTATTTGTTTTCTAAATAAATTGATAATCAGCTGCTCATCATATTTTGATTGTATGATTTATGTGTGGAATAGGTGCAGATCAAGTAATTTTGTAGTGTGTGTAGATTTTGAATGTTTAGTGTATGTAGAGGATGGAATTAATTATTATATATATACAACCATGCAACTACATATGTACATGCAGGTCATGATCAATTGTTTTATTTTTTCATTTCATCATGCAGCTTGTATAATGTAAATTAAGGGCTATAATTCAAATATAAGGGCAATGGGCAATTGGGCCGCCATCATTCTTTTTTTTTTTTTTTTTTGCTGTATGTTTAGTCTATGTAAATTAAGGACTGTAATTCAACTACACTAAGGGCAATGGGCAGCCAGCAATGAGCATGCCCCAAATCAAATAATCAAACGTTGACCAATACATATTCACAACATTTAACATATTGTAGCTACAGGTCTTGATTAACAGTTGAATTTGTTTGTTTGTTTGTTTTTGTTCTTTTTTTTTTTTGTAAAAATGCATTGTGTTTGTAAATTAAGGGCATACAACATGGGCAATGGGCAGCCAACAACGAGCATGCCCCAAATCAAATATTCAAACAACATCAAACAACACATATTCACAACATTCAACATAATTTATAAGCTACACATACAACAATGTAGCTGGGAGTTCATGTTCAATTTTTTTTTTTTTTGTTTTGTTTTTTAATGCAGTGTGTATGTTTCGTGATGCATGATGTAAGTGTAAAATGCTCTGTGTGAGTAGTTGTTTTATAAATTTATAAAAATCGTTATATGGACAATGGGCTTTATTTTGGGGAATTAATGTAATTAAAATTGATTTTAGTGTAAAGTCTATTATGAATGTATTGAAAATCATATAAAACTTTTGCAATGTGCAACCCATAGATGCATGCCTGTCTAGAACATTCATGAATGATATTTCAAATAAACATTGTTGCTAACAAGGGAATCAGCTAGATAGATCTATATTGTCATGAACTTAAATTGTCCATTTTGTTAAACTGTTTAGGCTGTCTTTACAGTCCAGCACATCAGAGTTGCATTAAAAGTATGATTCAGTGTTTTCCTTAAGAACTGGTTACCAGACAAATTGACCGCTTCAATTGACAAAAATGCCGTTTCGAAACAAAATTTGTTGTTAGTTTCACAGAGGTTTTGTTCATAAACATCAGTTCCTAGCCTGTTACAACCGATCTCTAACCCCTTACTTTGAAATAAAAGGAAAACACTGTATGGTGCCTAAACTCGTAAAACACTACCTATAAATTTAAAGAAAGATTAAAAGGATATATTATGATAGCAGAAATAAAACTGTTTACACAAGTTAGGCAAAACTCTACACCAGGAATAATCATCAGACTTATACATGTATGATGTGTTCCAGATTTCTACATGACCACGACAGTCCTGCTGGAAGCGGGTATAAATTTATCTGGCTAGAATTTGATAAAACCATCCAAAATATTTAAGAGAAAAATTTTAAATTGTATTTAGAATGTACCTTATTTTTATCTGAAATTTTTTTAATTTTTTTTACTGTCAAATAAGCTGAGCATGCACAGCTGATTGCTAGTTGAAGTTGTCCGCCCTGCCAAAAAAGTACTAACCCGCAAAAAATAATTTGTCTTTGAAAATTTTAGAGCAAAAATGTGAATAGGGCTGATTCGCTACATATTCGATTCCTGTTGAATTCTACCCATTTGTTTGTTACAATTTGGAACCAGTAATAGTTGATTGCAGAGTTTGAAATATCAATCTGAATTTTAATTTATGGGAAATTTTAAGTTTACTCAGCCAGCTGGGCTTCAATGTGCATCTTGGGCGGTCAGGTGCAAGGTTATGTCAAACGCTGTTGAGAACCATGTCAAGTGTCAATCATGGTAATTTAAATAATAATAATGTTATCTAATGGTAAACAATCACCGCGAGACGCTTGATTTCTATCGGTGGTTAACTGTGCGTTTGAATCCTACCGTGAACGATGGCGTCGCGCTACATCACTTGGACGGTACCTCAATTAAAAAAGGAATTGATGCACAGGGATGCAGCTACGCACGGGAGAAAAACTGATCTGGTTGAAAGGTATACCCTTGAGATCAATATTTTCACACAAAAATTAATTTGTTCATAGAAAATTTCGTATAGAAATACAAAACAGTGTCCGTCCAGTTTATGTTGACCTACGTAACAAATTCAACCTTGTCATCAGTTAGACATCACTTAGTTTTCCTATACATATATGATTGAATTCGATTACAATGGTATTTGTATATAGCTTTGTTTTATAAAGTAAAACCCTTGATCATAGCTCCTTTAATGGTATTTATCTGCAGTCAAACCGATATTATAGAGTGTAGATAGGCATCAGCATTCAACCAAGAATATGGTTTTCGGCATGTGATAATCTAATGGGGACCATCCGACCGGTTTCATTCATTTTTTTAAATTTTATTCACATTATAAGGTTACCCAGATAAACGCACATATATCTTAGAACCCCCTACCCTTCCCATGTTGAAGGTTGAAAAATACAATTTATCACCATATTAGGCCTATATAGTGAAATTATAAATGTTTCAAATTAAAGAGCAATGAATCAGATTATACTACAACTTAGAAATTAAGAGAGTTTTACTTTATAAACTGAAAGTAAAAAAAAAAAAAGAATGAAAATTGAGGTCAATTTTATGCTCTAGGCCTATTTTTCAATAATTTAGAAAAAAAAATGTCTCCCTTATTATTACATTTTAACCCGTGAAATACTGTAATTTATTCATTGAATAAAAATGATATCCTCTCACAGTGTGAAAGGATATCAAAATGATATCCTGTCACAGTGTGACGAATATCAGAAGTGCGGGAAAACTCTCGATTTCCTTTCTCATAACGAAGATATATGCTGTAAAAAATCTTCCTTGACCTAAATTAAGATATATGGAAATAAATAAACCATTCTGACAGCGAATATTTAAACTGTCAAAATTACCAAAAATATGTTGTCAGATTCATGTTTACAGTGTTTTCACCTCACTAAGCTATGACGTCTCAACCGCTCAACTATGACGTCACGAGCCCATGACTGTATTACAAAAAGACAGAGGAAAAGGAAAATTCAAAGAATTTTTTTTTTAAATGTAATAAACAGAAAATTCAATGTTTTGTAGTTGAATATGGAATTTATTTCACTCGTGAGAAAGGATTTTTTGATATTTTCACTCGTGCTTCGCACTCGTGAAAATATCAAAAATCCTGTCCCACTCGTGAAATAAATTCCATATTCAACTACAAAGCATTGAATTTCCTCTATTTATACCATAAGTCAGCTTGCCGTAGGCCGGTGAACCTACTTCATGTGTAATAATCCAATATATTCATATTGATACTTTTTTCCTATTTTTATAGACATATATATACAGTATTTTGTGTTTGTTCTAACTTATCTGCTTATGAAATAATAATCTGAATTATGCCATTTTCATCCAAATATCTGGGTAATGATTAATTCTAAATTCCAACAATAATTTATATCCAGGCTTGAGTCCTATGATAGGAACAAGAACTTTTTACCACCGCCTGTTCTTCTGCCAGAACCTCTAGATGTGAACTGGCCATCCACTGGATTTCAACAATTGAAGCCAGATCACCAAGGACTTTTACCTAGTGTAACAAGGGACCAAACAGAAGCCTACTTTCTTCACCGCCTTGCAGGTTTCATAACTTTGAATATATAATATACATGCACTAAATTCAGAGTAGTATGATCCTATGTTGAAAAAAATATGTTTTTTTATCTATCATCTTTCATTATACATGTACCCCAACTCCTAAGGAGAGAGGGGTAATACTTATACTGTGATATAATCCTTGTGTGTCTGTCTGAGTGTCAGTTGTGTCTGTCCTTAACAATTTTTTCTCAGCGCAACTTACTACTTTATTAAATTGTAGAATTGATGATTGAAATTTTAGTACTCTTTGCTAGGCATGCCATATAGTGGCACTGGATTTATTTTTGTATGCACTCGAAATACAAGAAGGGCAATGTTTGAAACTCCCTGAAAAATTACGCAGACAGTAGACATGCAGGGCTGATTGCTAGTGAAAGTTGTCAGACCTGTCAAAAATGTACTAGCCCCCCAAAAATGAGCCTTTTCTGAGTTCATTTAAACAATAATGTGAATGGGCCCAGCTCCCTATAAATTTGATCCCATACCTACATGTATATGCTGATGAATTCTACCCATTTTCTTGCTACTCTTTGTTTGGAAATATTTAAAGATATTTCAAACAGTGAACACAGAAGAGATGGTAAATTAACATTAGAGCAGGGATATCACTAGTGAGCATTAATGATTTCCTCACAGACTTCTTGTTTTTAATGCAATGAACTTTAGTAATGAAATTAATGTGTATTTATTTTTGTAGGTGTTAATGACTCGGCAAGAAATATTAAGGCCATTAAGAATGGTGAATTGTTGTACGATTCCAAGAGAATCCTTGCGTGTTCTGTGCTCATTCAGGCCGACATATTTTTTACGGGAATAGTCAGTGCAGCCATGAAAAATAAGGTCAGTTGAACATTTACATAGACTCAGCAAGAAATTTAATCTATGCCTTTTTTTTTTTTTTTTCAAATCTCTATACTTATCATTTTATTCCAGATAGAAAGTCCATTTTGTAATTTGTAATACACGTATTCTTTGTATTTTTATGAATTGGGCAAATAACATGTATGTATTTTTATCAATCAGGTGACATACAACTACAAGCTTCGACTAGAAAAGCAATCCGGAGATATTTTAAGTTCCCACTGCGAATGTCCTGCTGGTAAGGGCCCAAACGGAACGTGTAAGCATCTAGCAGCAGTGATGGTGATGCTGGAGAAGTTCACTGGGTTAGGAGAACTGACTGGCATTGAGAAAACGTGCACAGAAAACCTTATGATGTTCAATAAACCAAAGATTTCCCATAAAGGTTTACATTTATATATTGATTTATAGTTATTTTTTGAGCTATTATACCCCTGGTAATCCTCAATATGCTTTTTGAATAATTATTACAAGATTTGATATTTAACATGAAGTGGTCACCCATCCAAGGGTTTAACAGGCTCAACATTTCTAAACTTGCCTGAAATAGAGGGATAGTTTACCGCATCACTAGAAAAGCTAGCTTACTAGCAAGGCAGTATAAGTTCCCTATATACTTTCTGCTACAATATTTAGCTTTAGTCTGGGTGTACCTATAACATAAATAACACAGAATATGAATTTGAAGAATGTATTGTGGTTTTACCTATCATTTTAAATATTTCAACTTGACACTTTTTTCTTACAGGATCACCAGTAAAGGTAGAACATCTTTCACGAAAACGCAAGTCAGAGTCAATATTAGATGATCCCCGTCCAGAGAAGAGGAGGAATATGGAGGGTTTTGAGGACAGGGTGAGGAACATCCTCATCAATTATACCGCAAAATCGTCGGCAGATATTGCCTATCGCTACTTATTCAAAGGAGCTGATTTGAAGGTATAAGAAATAAAACTAGAGGTACTGTGAGCAATAAGCTCACTAAATAATACCCCCTGCCTCCCATATGAATATAGTGGAAGTATCCATGGTTTGGTCTGGAAGATCTAAAATTTATGTCAGATCAAAATGTAATATAGGAGATGCACAATGGCAATATGTAATAAAGATTCTGACAAAGTTTTATTAAATTTCCTTCAGTGGTATGAGAGGAGTTGCGCATAAGAGATGGGTACCCTTAAAGCGTAACAGATGGACGGACGTACAGACAAACGAACATACCGATTACTATATACCCTCCCACTTTTCAAGCGGGGGGTATAATGAAAATACCTTTGGTCCCAAACTCATTTGTGTATCCAATCGCAATACATGTTCTTTTCCACTATAACCAATAGGAGGTGGGGGTATCATTTTGTGAGCGCAGTGCTTACAGTACCTCAATGTTTAAAAAGATTAATTTAATTGCAATTGAAGCAAGAGAACATTTTGTATTTCTTATTTCAAAACTGTATCTAAAAAAAAAAAATTAAAACAAAGAAAAGCTGGAGACCAACACCTTGAGGTTAAAATTGTGGAAGATAACAACAAAATAAATTTACTGCTGCATTCTCACGAAGTGTTGGTGATCTGTTTTTTATGTTCCCCAAACGAAGTTGGGGAACATATTGTTTTTACTCTGTTTCTTATTATTATGTTCCCCAAACGAAGTTGGGGAACATATTGTTTTTACTCTGTTTCTTATTATTATGTCGCCCCGAACGAAGTCGGGGACGACATATTGATATTGTACGCATGTTTTTTTTATCCAGGCTGTTTCTCGGAGATGTCTTGGACAATCTTCCTGAAACTTTCCTCAAAGGACGATCACTGGTTGTAGTTGTGCAGTGAGGTCGTTCAGTTCCAATATGTCTACCGTTGCCATGGAAACCTGTAAAAAGCGACAAATTTTGTCCGAGAGTGTTCTCTCTGGTCCCTTAAACGTTCGTCATGAAACTTTTCTTATTTTAAGGATTAGTATCTGTAGTTCTGCAACTCGTATTTAAAATTTTCATATAATCGATTATTGCCATGGAAACCAGGTGAAAGTAAAAATTCTTTAATTTCGATTTTCTCAATAACTACTCAGGCAATCGTTTTGAAACTTTCAATGTTTATTCCTTGCAATGTGTCAAAGTGATTTCTACTTTCAAAATAATTGTAATGAGTCGCTCACGGTTGCCATAGAAACGAAACAGAAAAAAAGATTCAGATGTACACATGTGTTCTCCAAGGTCTAGGTCAAAGGGTCAAAGTTCGTCGTATCCAATAAAAGTTCTTTTCACAAGGATTACATATTTGAAATACGAAAGCCCTAGTACTTACCGTTCAAACGTTATGGCTATTTACTATGTTCAAGACGACCCCCCCCCTTTTTTTGAAGCACACAGCCAAGTAGAATACACAGATATAACATATACAACTTACAAGTAACTTTTTAAAATCTTCATTCATAAAATTCAGTTCCCGTCATGTGATATTTTGCCATCATTCATTCTCCTTCTGTTTTGTCTCTTGAATTTATAAATATTTTATTTTATCTATATAAAAAAAAAAATAACGATTGTCAGCTGCATTTATTATCATTTCGCGTTTTCTTGTATATCTATCACTTGTATATTATTCATTTCATTAGATAGTGCAAGTATAAATTAAAAAAATGGTACGTCATTTCCATAGTTTTTATTCATTCATAAATTCTTTGATCCGCTCCTGATGGTTCGCAAAGCCTTGATCACCACTGTATACAAAACATTCATCTCGCCGAAAATGTTCATGATTCCGCTAAACTGAGAAAGTTCACACATGATTTATCATCTCATAACACACATCAGCTCTCTGCAATGCAGAAATGCTCGAATTGATGGTGGCATGTCAGATTCGTTTTTCGGTAGAACCTCTAAAATGAAAGTGAAAGAGGGAAATTTCAGAGTTCCCACTGGCGTTACAATACACAAAATAATTCGGCTGATCTTCTTCATAAATTACATTTCCCAAGCTTTTATGATAGGAAAGATACTGCCAATTAACAAGTATGAGGCTCAGTTCAGTACATCTGCCAGATTTCGTTTATGCAAGTCTGCAAATTGAGGA